CACGCCTCTGCTTCCTGCGGCAGAGGAAAAATAGCTGATGATGTTGAAGCACGCAGGGTAAGGGGGAGGCTTGTGAAAACCCTGACCTGCTGGTTCCCAGCACTCGGGGAGGGTGGGGGGCTCAGATTTATCCCCCCTCCTTGGCCAGAGAGGAGTTTGTGTGCTTTGGGGTGGCTGCTGGAGCTGCAGGGGAAAGGCAGGGAGCAAGCGAGCGTGGGGCAGGGGGACAGAGGGAGGGCATCGGAGGGCTCAGCCCCTGCTGCTGTCGTGCAGACTTTGGGGTTCCCATTTCCAGTAGGTTTAGGGACAGTGCAATGAGCTGGGCTGTCTGTACTGAGCGTCAGCATCACCGCTGCTCGGCAGAGGGAGCATCAACCCCTCCGCACCACAGCAGCTGGAGCACATCTGGCTGCCAGATGGGGTGACTCCAGCCAGCCTGGAGGGTCCTGAGCCTTAGGAGCCGACCCCAGACCCTCTCCCGGCCCTGAGGCCTCTCTCATGGGGCATCGCTCTGCCAGCTGCCCTTCTCTTTTTGCAGTGGGGGGGGGATTTCCCCCATGGATCTGCATGGGGGTGGGTAGGGGGTGAAGCTGTCTGGGGAGTCCCACCAGCGATCAGAGCCCATGGCACTGACCCTGGGACTCCGCTCTGGTTTGGAGCTGCTTCTGTGCCTCAGTTTCCCCATCCGCAGTATAGCCTGAGCTACGACGGGGGTGAGGGGAAGCTTTCCTTGATGCTTTCACTGAGGAGGAATGGCAAATCCTGACAGAGCACTGATTCTTCTGGGGTGGGGAGGATTTGATCCTTTTTGCAAGTAGCTGTGGCTCATTCGGAATGAAGCAGCTTTACCACGGAGAGAAAGCACCCGCCGGGGGGGACAGCCTTACACCCCATCTCACTGCGCTGTAACTCCAGCGCAGATAAGTGCTTTCCCTGGTGCTCACTGGTGATGGGACTTTCACACCTTATGTTTTTTTGCCTGTGGAATCAGACGGGGCTGTGCAGATGGAGCCGGTGCACGGCCAGAGCATCGCCAGGAAGGCGCGACCCCACCGGGCGGCTGTGGGAGCACTCTGCCCAGACTTTTCATGCCAGTCATGCGAGGAGCTGTGGCGCAGCGGGGCGTGCAGAGCCTGGCCAGCCTGGTGGCGACACCACCATCCTCCACGCCAGCACCTCCCGTGCAAAGCAGTGTGCACCGTACCCGTGTCCCCAGGCCTCGGGGACCTCTGCGGCTGGGGCGCGACAGCCGGCACGGTGATGGGCTCTCATCCTGGCGGCTCCGGTGAACGGGTCAGGGCTGCTGTACCCTGGCTGCCCTGATCGGAGCCCTGATGGCTGCATGGCGGCTTCCCACAGAGACAGGGTTTGCCACTGCTGCAATCTGGAGCTGCTTTGACCTGTGAAATAGAGATCTTTAGAAAACCCTGCGGGTTTGTGCTCCCTGCTGCTGGCAGCCGTGATGCTCTGCTGCAGCTGGGAAGGTTGTGTCTCAGGGATGGGGGTGCTCCACTTGGAGCTGGCCTGACCCCCTCTTAGCTGTGCTGGACACCCCAGGCTGGGTGCGTTGCTCTGTGGAACTGGGGAAACGACAAGCTCCAAAGCACGGTGCCAGCTCTTGCTCCTGCACTACTTTCCACCTCCTCCCAGGGTGCCACCACCACCCCACAGTCTCTTTCCTCCCTGCTTTGAACCAGCCCCTTCCCAGCACTTCCTAAAGCTGCTCAACACCAGCCTCAAAATTCCCCATCACCCTACAGCCTGTCTGTTAGGGTGTTCGGGGCACAGTTTCTTATTGAAAGCCATCCTCTGGGCAGGCCAGGCTGGGGGGGTGGAATTCCCCCCTCCCTGGCAGCCTCTGCTGTGGCCATGAGGGTGCAGAGACTGAGATGGTGGGCACAGGGCTCTAGTTTGATTTTCTCCTCCCCTTCCAGGCTCCTGACCTGGTCTGGGGCAGGATCTCCAGTAAACGCATCCCTGGGGCAGGGCTGCTGTGGGGAGTGGATCGGGGCTGGGGTTCAGGACCCCGTCCCCCCACATGTGTGCGAGTGCGTGTGCGTGCACACTCAGAAGCGTGTCCTTTGGGGTTTGCACAGCACATTAAAGCTATTCCCTTATCTAATCACAGCTCAGGTGAGTGCTATTAGGGTTATACATTAACAGTGGTAACGATACCCTCTCCCCACGCAGCCACTGGCCCTGCCTTGATCCCAAAGCCGAAACCATTCCCACTGGCCCCACGAATGGCTCCGTTTGGCCGCCTGAGCAGTTCCTTCACCTGGTCTTTTGGGGACAAGCAGGAGGGACTCTAAATGCATAGCAGGGCTGGACGGGGTCAACAGCTCTGCTAGCAGACACCCCAGCACCCCTTTGCACCCCATGCACCCCATCCGCGCTCCCTCCCAGCACAGCAGCATCTCTGTGCTATCCCAGCCATGGGACAGCCCGGTCCAGCTCTGCCAGGCTCCCCTGGAAATGCGGGAGCGGCTCCATCCCTCTTGGCCGTGCTCCCCGCTGCAGCACTGGGATTTCCCTGTAGGTATGGGGGCTCCCTGTGAGGAGCTGGGTTGGCTTGTCCCAAATTTCCTCTTTCCTTTCACAGAGCTATAAAAAGTCTCCAGGAGAGTTAAGTGCAACCCGGCATTCATATTCAAGGTAGTTGAATTATTCATTGTCAATAGTATTTCTTGCCAAGTCCTTTTCTTTTTCTTGTGAATCACCCACAAGACATTCCCGAATTCAGCAAACATCTCTGAAACCAGCAATTAGTCGAAGTGAATAACTTCCCATCCCTGGCTTGGTTGTGAGCCCTCATGCTTTGAGTTTTTGCTTTTTTGCTACCCTGATATCTGGCAGCGAGAGGCTGGTGCCCAGCTCACACGGCCGGGAATCTCGCAGACCTGAGGCAAAGCACAGCCTTCAGCAAGGAAGAACCGTGAAGAGGGAATAACAAAGAACAGGCTGTGATGGATGTATTTACAGCTGCAGCAGGAAATAATAATTCCAAAAAAGAAATTCATGGCATATGGAGTATTCACAAACCGCCTTATTTCTTTATTCTTTAATTATTTTTTTCACTTTATCTGTCAGTTCCTTTGCTTTCCAGCTGTTTTTTCTCCAAACAGCAGTATTCAAATGGCAATATTGCAAATAAGATAATTGTAAAGTCATTATCTCTTCAGAAGGTTTTTTGCTTTTGAATGATGATAAAAAAGATAAATTCATATGAGAAAGAAAAGAACCTGTAGGAGTCCCTGAGCCTGGAGCAGAGGCAGAGGGAGCACGATTTCTCATGGAGCTGCTAAACCCCGCTGGTGCCTCTGGTTTATTCTGTAACTCCCTGGGAATCGCTGTGTTTGCAAATTCAGCCCAGGGCTGGGATGCACAAGTCCTTCTCACTCCTTCCCACGCCGATGACCCCTTCACCTGTGGGACAGCAAGAGATGGCAGCGACCCCTTGGTCTTCCCAGGGGTCCTGTGGGAGAGCAAGGGGACAGCATGGGGTCCCTCATGGGATGGGTGTCCCCGGCATCGCTCCAGCCCTGCACTGTGCCAAAGAGGAGACAAATGCCTAGGAATGCTGCTGTGGACTCCTCGCACACTGAATCAGTTCAGCCATGTGTCTGCAGACATCTCCATACACACCTTGCTCAATAATTACCTTTTTTTAGCCCTGCTTTTACCTGCTGGGCCGGGTCACTAGAAATCCCTCCCTGCGCAGCTGCAGCGGTGATGGGCAGTGTCCTATCCATGCTGCTTCACCCAGGGCATCCCCAGGGAAATCCACAGAGCTGTTCTGGGCTTGCTCCTGCCCCTTCCCATGGCAGCACCACTCTCAGCAGCAGAAATTCAGGAGAAGATGGGCAACTGCATCTTCCAGGCAGGAAAATGTCCGGGTTCCCCATCACAAGGACGGTGGCTGCTCATCTGGAAGCACAGCTCCATCCCTGCCGATGCCCTGGAACAGGATGATGTTATTTCAGGTGAAGAAGCAAATATTCACAGCTGTGTTTATTCCCTGCCCGTGGTCTCTTCTCCAGAGGAAAGCACCAGGGACTTGTCAGCAAACTGCCAGCCATGGGCAGCCTTCCTCAAAGTGCCACCCACGCCCCCAACGGCTCCCAGCCCAGGCAAAGTTCAAGCCCTTGGCTCCTGCTGTGCAGCTAACCCCAGTTGTGTGCGGATTAACGAAGGAGCTAACGGAGAAGGCAGCTGGGCTATTTTTGACTGTATTTCTCTGCTAGAAAGTGGCAGCTGCTTCCTCATGCACAGAGGAGATGTGGGGCTCGATGGGCCCAAGCTCTGTCCATACCTGGGGGGGGCCCAAGGCAAGGTTTGGGCTGGCTTCGGTCAAACACGGCTGGCCTGCGGATGCCATCCCTGGAAGGGCTTGTGCACCGTGTGGGCTTTCTGCAGAACATCTTTGAATACTGCTCTAAATGAATAAGCTGCTGCCTTCCATCTGAGCTCGGTGTTGGGAGGAGGACAATAACCCTCTTGGTGGTAGAGAAATGCTGTAGTCTCTGGGTTTTCCGTCTTGTCCTGATCGATTTGCCTTCAAGTGATGGCACCTTGGTTTTTGGCTTCCTGGCGAAGAGCTGGGCTTCCCTGAGGTGTGTTTTTGCAGGCTGCGTGTCCTCAGCTCAGCACAGGGCTTAGCACTGCTCCTCTTGGGGACACTGCACCATGGCATGTGGGATTTATAGTCCATCTTCTTGGGATGCCTCTGAATCCCTCCTGCTCTTTCCATCAAGCAATTTCCCCAAATCCCAGGTACTTTCCAACGCAAAGAACTCCCTGGTGCTACCCAGCATGGGCATTAAATCCAGTAGGACCCTCATAACTCCCTTTTCCGCTGCTCCCTGGGGCACTGCTGTGTTTCTCCTGAGCTCTCCACAGGTGGCTGTGGTGTCTCCTCCATGCCCTTGGGGATGCTCCTACCCTTCCACTGCTGCCTTTCGTCGCCTCTTGGCTCACCCGCGCTCTGCTCTCTCTGCCAGGCAAGACCAGGACGAAAGACAAGTACCGAGTGGTGTACACAGACCACCAGCGCCTGGAGCTGGAGAAGGAGTTTCACTACAGCCGCTACATCACCATCCGCCGCAAAGCCGAGCTGGCTGCTGCCCTCGGGCTCACTGAACGGCAGGTCAGTGCTGCGGTGTCCTGGGAAAACCCACATCCCGGGAGGAGTGGGGCTGGGGAGGGGAAGGGCTGCGGTACAGCAGTGGTCCCACCTTGCTCCGTGGATCTCCCTTCTCTTCCAAACCCTGAGATGACATCTCTGCCCAGGGGGATGCTGAGGGTTGTCATCCTTGGATGCAGCCATACCCATCTCTGAATCGCTGTCTTTGTCTTTCTGCAGGTGAAAATCTGGTTTCAGAATAGAAGGGCGAAGGAGAGGAAGGTGAACAAAAAGAAGATGCAACAGCAAAGCCAGCCCACCAGCACCACCACGCCAACTCCGCCAGCCGTCGGCACACCGGGACCCCTGGGGGGACTCTGCAGCAGG